TAAACTTTTGTTTAGCTTTCAAACTTTGATGCAAAATAAAACCCTGGAAAATGCACACAGCTTGGGAGAAAACCACAGAGATCTATGTACAGTTGCAGAGCTACAGTCTTGTTCAAGATCACAGAAGCATGACTGAGTGTTGCAATGAGGGGATGCAGGCTTTTCAGGAAGAACAGGACAGGAAGGTGGGGAAGAAGAGTTGCCCTATCTTCGAGAGAGATGCTGGAGTGCACAGAGCTCTGCCTGGGGATGGATGAAGTTAAGCAAGCTAAAGCTGAAGTGGAATGGCATCTTGACAGGGATTTCAAATATATAAGTTGACTGTCAAAAGATATTTTGAGGTGTGTATTTGAAATTTAGCAGCTGTATCAACTGGAAATGTCTACAAAATTTGTTCCTAATTTTTAAAAGCTCCTGTAGAGCTTCTTGAAGCTACCTGAATTTACAGCCAGTTCAGAGAAGAATTGTATAGTAGCAGTTGCATTTTCATGCATTACCTGAGTTCACCCCATTTATGTTTAATATGTAGAAAATGCTACCATTTTCCAGTTTTACTGCTGCTCTTATATTTTATACAGTTCACAGGGAGAAACTGAAAGAGTAGTGAAAGTGATGCTCTCTGTCACTGTACACAAGTGTTGTGTGACACAACTAGTGTTACACAGTAAGTCTGAAACACTAACCAGAACTCCAGAAACACAGTAATTTTCATGATTGGTTTATTATTCCTCTTGTAGAGCACACCGTTCCCTTCTTTAACCTGATGCTCTTAACACTGCAAAACCTGAATACACAATGGCTTTGACATCTCTGGAAAACAGCATCCCAGACACAAGTAGCAATGATTGATTTTAAAGGTTCCAGTGTGATGATAGTTTTCAACGCATTTTCACCTTTGTATGCCCCAAAGACAGTGACACTCAGGTTAATCAATGTCTTGAGATTTAATCAGAAAGTGTTGAGAAACAAGTTCTGCAGTGTGATAAGATAAACAACAGCCTAATGCTGAAGTGGAAAGCAGTGCTTCACAATGACTCAAGAAAATTCAAAATTGGATAGGCAAGGCAGACAGAATGAGGCAGAGAAAAAACCCACAAAGATCAGCGACTCACCTTTAACTCTGATTAGTAGCAAATGTTTAGCAATCAAAAATGGTTTAGCAGTAATCCTTATTTCTAAGTGGGAACTGGTGTTAACAGTCTAAGGAAAATAACCTTAATGGACTGTACAGTCAGTGAGAGAAAAGCACCAGCATTCAGTCTTCATTCACTCCTCCATTTCCCATGTCCCCAGCACTGACAGCTCCCAAGGACCAGCCTCTTAAAGGGAAAGTTATCCTACCTTTTTGGCTACTCTTCTTAGCCCTCATGCTTTAGAAGGCAATTTGTTTTAACATATCATTGAAAAAACCTGGCATGGTTTCTCCTTGTTAGCACTTACAAAAATGAAGGTTTTCTTGAACTGGTTTGTTTTTAAACAAAAATAATTGCAACTCAGAATTTTTGAGAAAATGGGGAAACCAAACATCATAAAAATGACACCACAAACAGAGGAAGACAGATAACATTTTACATATGTTAACCTCATGACATAAAGTCTCATTGCTATGTCAGCCTGTGCAGTGCTGTAGAGAGGAAGGTGTGAACTTCCTTTGCTTGATGGGTCTAGCACACAAGCAAGTCAAGATATCAGTGGAGAAAACAGGAAACAGATGGAGGTGGGGGGCTCTTGAATCACCCTTTGCTGCTTTTCATCTACCAGCATAGGTCAACATAAAGAAAAGCAAGTTAAAGCATTGTTCAGCACTGAGGAAGAACTACAGCAACCATGGTAGCAGCAAAAATAGGCTTAAGAGAGAAAACCTCAATTAAACACAAGCATCCAAAGACACAACCAGTAGAAAGTCTATGCACCATCCCTCTGCACCCCTTCTGGGCTATTAACACAATCAAATACCTCTATAAAGTGCCTGAACACAAACACACCCAGTATGGGAAAAAACCAGGAGGAAGGAGAGATCTGTGTGCAGTCCCAGATCCCACTGGTATTACAGAGATGTAATGGGATAGCTCCTGTGGCTGGAATGTTGTCATGAAGGCCTACACGATATTTAGGAGAAACAGACCAGGAAAGTGTGGTAGTGGAGCTGCCCTCTATGAGGGAGGCAGCACTTGGAATGTATTGAGCTCTGTCTTGGTGAGGATGATGAGTGAGTTGAGGGCTTATAGCTTTGGATAAAATGACAGACTGCTAAGGGTGATACTGTTGTGGGTGTTTGCTTCAGGTTGCCTGGGCAGGAGGAGGATGTTGATGAGGCCTTCTACAGGCAGCTTGAAGCAGCCTCAAAGTCACAGGTGCTGGTTCTTGTGGGGGATTTTAACTACCCTGACACGTGCTAGAGAAACAGCACAGTGAAGCACAAACCATCTAGGAGGTTCCTGGAAAGCCTCGATGACTGCTTCCTGACACAAGAAGTAGATGATCCCACAATGAATGGTGTGCTGCTTGATCTCATACTAATAAACAGAGAAGACCTTTTTTGGAGATGTGAATGATGGGCACAGCTTCAGAAATCAGTATGGGGAAGGAGGAAGCAGGGCAGTGAGATTGTAATCATGAACTCCAGAAGAGCTAACTTTAGCCTCTTCAGGAAGCTTCTTGGAAGAATCCCATGGGAATGAGGCCTGCAGGAAATAGAGGTCCAAGAGAGCTGGTTGATATTCAAGGATCACTTCCTCCAGTCCCAAGAACGTCTCACCAAAGTGAGAAAGAAATCAGGTTAAGGGGAAAGAGGCCTGTGGATGATCAAGGAACTCCTGTCATTACTTGAATGTAAGCAGTAAATACATAGGAAATGGAATCAGTGTCAGGACACTTGGAATGAATACAGAGAAGCTGCCACAGTAAGTATAAATGAGATGAGGATGGTCAACACCCATCTGGAATTAAAGCTGGCCAAGGCTGTCAAGGACAACAACTTCAACCCACTGTGGTTCCTTCCAACTTTACCCATTCTGTGATTCTGTAATATGAACTTATCTCCAAAGGAAGATATCAGTACAACAGCACCATACTGCAAGCTGTTCTTTTCCCAAAATATTATCACTAATTCCCATTCTAAAGAATTCTTCATAAATTTTAGCGTCACTGAGAATCAAGCTAAAAATATCAATCAAATTCTTTATTTATATCTCTTGCACATTATAATCTCTCTAAAATTAAAGGACTATTGTTTTTTAGGTTTTGATACAACACAATTAGATATCAGGGGTTTGAATAAAGTATCGTTTTAAAAGGTTAAGACAACATTAAAAAATGATTAGCGCATCAGTAGAGTCTCAGCAGACAGCTCTTTAAAAACAATGGACAGGGAATTTAAAGAAAAATACAACAGAGAAGTAAATTAATATTCTTTCCAGCAGAATGATTTCTTTAAAGACAAAAATCCAAATTATGCACGTCTGTTTTTTTTGTTTTAAAAGAACTAGTTTGAAGGCAAAATATACCTACCCAAAGCAATTAAGATGAGAAGAAGAAAGATAGAGGAAAAGAATACTCCAAGGGCCAAGTATGTAAGACTGAAAGAACTATAAAGTCAAAGTAAAATCATCCATTTTCCCTTGAATTATATTTATTTAACAGAAACATAAAGGTGTGCAGAACAGATAAATGGGTTACCAGGGAAGGTAAAGCAAAAGCTCTCAAATGTTTTTCTTTGGAGAGCATCACCATTATCAAAGAGAACTGTTTGCTACAAGTCAGCCTTGAATTCAAACAGACACCTGCTTAAGTTTTACATTGCTCTGTGAGCAATGGAAAGGAGAAGCATTTGATTTCTCCTACTAGAAAAGGAGAAATTAAATCTTATAAAACATAGTCTACAACCAGCAATGTTTCCCAGACTCCAGTCTAGGTTTTAGCAGTTGTAGAACTTTAGATAAACTTCTCACAGATGACAAAGGAAGAAATCTTTAATTTTTTCTTTTGGACTACAGTCTTCTTCTCTAATTCTTGTCTTTATGCTGAAGGAGAGGAGAAAACTTAGATTCCTCATGTCTCTATCATTGACTTTCCATGAGATGAAAAGCAAACTGTGTTTCAGATTTTGCTGTATGAATAAAACTGTTCATAACCTTGTAAGTTCTATCAGATGCCTTTCTCATTCCTTTGCTCTAAGAGTCAGTTTACCAATTTGTTTTTATGAACTACTTATTTATGTACTCTTGCTTAAAAAACCTGAAAATCCTAAAGACAAGCAAAAAGACTCCTTAGTAAGCTAAGTTTGCACAATGTACCATGGTTCCACTACAAAGATAAGTAATCACTTGAATGCAGCATTTTCTATTACAACCCCAGGTCAATACTTCTGGTAAAGAAACCTAGAATGTTTTACAATTTTAAATGCATTGCAGAAAACAAGAACATATTCTTTCAGTCATATTTCCTCACTTAGTTTACATATTTATAGATAGTCTCTGCACTTGCCTTTGGTCATTTATAACGCCCTGATGCTAATTGAAAAATAATTAAAAAAAAATACTTCCTATTTTATTACCCATCTCACTTCACTAAGTAAGTAAATTTCCTCTAGGGCCTCACATGAAAAATGAAGAGGACATACTTTATTTCAGCTTGTGGTGACAGGCATCAGATGTTCCTCTAGGCAACCCTAGCTAGGGGCACAGAAAATTTTTTCAGAAGCCTAGCTCTGATGGATGCACAAAATAAGACAGACTGAGAAAAGAGCTTTCAAGAGGAAAAAAGAGCAGTGGGCTCCAGAGAAAATGGTGTTTCAGGCTACCTGTGTTTTTATAAATTGTAGCTGGGAATAAAAATTTAAGATAATGTAGAGACAGTATTATACTACCTGCCACAAATCATTAAAGTACCATGCACAGAGCAAGCAGGTATTTAAGTAACTGAAAAGTTCCTGCTCCTCCACATTTTACTTTCATTGAGAAAAGATGATTTCAATGACTTCAAGTGTATTGCTCACATACCTTTCCTGGCTCCCTTCTGTGATGTGGTAGAGACGATTGGCACCTCCATCTGCACAAGCTCTCAGGGCAGCTGCAAGTGAAGAAAGAGAACATCAGTGCATCTGCATTATAAATAAAAACCCACAATCAGTTGACAGTGCTGTGTAAATTTAAATGTTCATAGTGGCATAGGGAATAAGCCTGAGATCTTGTATGGCTTTTAGTTTCCTGTACCTGACTGCTTTCTCAGTTTCTCTAAATAGAAATTTGAACTGTTATTATCAGACTAGTGCCAGTCTTCATCTGACTGTGCCACTGTACTTGCAAATAGCTTATTTCTATCTCTCTGAACCTGCTGCCCAGCCAGCTTAAACTACAGGACAGGTAAGTATTAGAAACCTGAAAAGGCCCACCCTCCATCTATGGATGGATCCTCCACCTTGTCACAAGTGGGAACTTGCACTGTAAACACAACTATCTTCTCACCCAGGCAGAAAGTTCCCCATGGTGGCTCTATAGCAACCTGCAAAACAACTGGGAAAAAAAAATAACCAAGACTTAATCACGACAATACCCTTTTTCTCCTTTTTTCCCCTCCTATAACACAAAAATGGTAACTTTATTACAGTTCCTATATTGTTCCACAGACTGTTTGAATCTTCTGATATAAAGTAGGTAGTTTAGGTCTTAGCTTTAAATCTTAGACTATCCTGGTACAAAACCACAATAATTTTCAGCACTTCCACCTAACTCGGTGGCTACAAAGGGCATGTGCCACTAATTCCAGTTGATTTAAACAAGCAAAGACATGCTGTTCTCTTGTGATCCTTTTGTTTAAGGACTTAAGCCAGAGAAAAGAGACGAGTCTAACGCTATTATTACAAAATCAAATATAAATTGGTATCTTTTATTCATAAGCTTCCCTATTAATCATCAATTAACTAAAACACAGCTCTTTGATGAGGTTTTTAAAACTGATAAGCTATTAAAGATTGAAAATGACCATCTTGTCTTAGCAGTCTTTATCAGTTTTGCTCTGAGATGCACAAGTTCAATACCTATAGCACATGAGATAAAAGAAGCTGTTGCTTCCACACTAGAGCAGAATGTCTCCTCCAGGCAAAGAGAGACTGACTGGTAATCCTGAAAAGGCTGAAAGTCACAGGGGGAAGGAGAGTAAATAAAGGTACAAACATTCAGATCAGGTACTTCTTGCTACTGAGAATCCAATTTTCAGCTAAAGCCACTTTCCTTTGGTGTACATTTCCTTTCCTTTTATTTTTCAGTCAGAACCACCCCTCAGCAAAGATATAAACCTGTATCTTTCTTTTTGGTGTATAATAGATGGGCAGTCCACCTCTTCCCCTACTTAGGCAGCCTATACAAATAGGGACAACAGAGTTCACCTCTATAGCAGCTCTCATCTTCAAGTCATTCTTTCTTATGTGGGTGCTCAACTCCAACAAGGAGTGTTTGTAAATGAATACTGTGCAGTACCATGTGACCTTGGATGAGGATTTTTTGAGGGGGGTGGAGGGGAAAAGAAGGAAACAGGACACTTTGGGTACCTCAGCTTTTTTTCTTTCAGGCTGAAGCCATGAGCAGAGCAGGAGAACAAGCACTGTACTCCTCTGTACTATTTCTAGTAGAGCTTCTGTTCCTGCTCTCTCCACTACCCACCATGGCAAGAACTACTGCCCTCAGCCTTCTTGTACAGACCATGCTCTGTCTCCTTACAACACTTTACCCACTCCTTACAGCCTTCACCCAAACCCATATTAACATGCCAAGGTCAAGCAGATTTGATCCTTATTAGAAATCTTATTAAGTGAAGTAATTTCTAGAGTATTCTAGAAACTTGCCAGCCACTTACCATGGTGATTCACTGCTTCAGGCAAGTGCCTCATCCAGTCTGATGAATACATCACAAGACAAGAACAACCCTTTTTGCCTGTTGCGTTTGACTGGAAGATTTTACCTTCTTTCACTTGAGGTTACAGCTGAAAATGGATTGATATACTTCCTTTCACCTGGATGTATCTGTTGGCTCAGGGAGTTCAGCTTACACAGAACATAGTAATAGCCCATTGCAAGAAGAGTGTGTAATAAAGTGTTAAGTCAGCTATCCTGTCTACTGGCTTATTTAGCAGATAGAAGGTATCTAAGCAAGGCTTAGGACCTAAGGTACATGACCTGCCTGAAGGACGTTTCCCAGACATTCCCAGACAGTCACAGCTTTTTCCTTCTGAATACAGTGAGTTTTCCATCTATTTTCCCACATTAAAATAAGTAGCTTATAACTTCTAGGGAAAAAAAAAAAGAATGGGATGAGATACATAAAAAAGTGATTGAAATCTATTCTCAATCTCAAGTATTTTAACACAGGCAGAGCCTTAACTATTGTATATGCTCTCAATGGACTTACCACAAATGAAGCCTGGCCCAACATCGCTTCATCTAATCTTACAATTTTAAAACAACATGACCACAAAACACCAAAAGAAACAAAGCAGCACAAAACAAATCAGTCTTCAATCAGTGTGGTACATGTAAAAGTACTGAGATTCTCCCAAAGACAGGAAGGTGCCTAAAAAACAGATCTATGACACTTGGATGTTTTTCATACGGATATGGTGCTACCATCTGATAACTCAAATCAAAAGAGCTGCCTTATATAACTGCAATTTAAAGCTGTCCCCCCACATATTTATTCTTATTCATAAGAAAAAAAAATTAAACTTCTGTAGCATTGTAAAGTTATTTAGAGAAACAATTTATGAGGTACTGATCCTTTACCAGCAAGTTAATAACTTACACTGAATTCAAACAAAGCCCCAGTTGCATTAAGGGACTAGCAGGTAATTAACAGATTGGCTGGAGGCCAGTAAATCATAATATTTCTACAGCTATGAACTAAACCTTGCTTGACAGAAAGTAATGATACATGTTAGCTGGAAGAATATGTATCATTATTATCTGGAAGTGTTTAAGGAGACAGCAGTTCACAGCTAACAGTTTGGATGGAAAATTCTCTATGAAAAATAATAGGAACTGATTTTATACAGTGCCTTTTATATTAGAGACAAAATTGCTTTACAAAACAACTATTTGGCCAAGGTGCACCATGGCAACTGCGTAGGCAAATCTAACAGTCTCTAGGCACTTTGCAACAGCTCACAGGAAACCTCATTAATTATTTCAGCAGAAATTGAAGGACCTGAACATGATTTGGGCTTTGTTTTCCTTGGCTTGGCATCCTGAAAACAGAAACACTTTCTTCTGAGATGTTTTCAATTTAAACAGAAAAAAAAATAAATTAAAAGGTAGAAAGTGACACAGATGGATGAAGTGCTAAGGGACACAAATGGGTCAAAGGCATGTTATCTTCCAGGGGGACCTAAGTGGATGGTGGGGCTTATAAAGTGAAGAATAACTTAAGGGTCCAGTCAGAACACCAAAGGTCTTGCTCTTGTCTTCTGGCCCAAAGGGTACCATCACATTTTGGCATGCTCCTCAAATTTGCTAGATGGGCCGCACACGAAGTACGCTCTTGCTCGCACGTCAGAAAAAAACTAAGTCACCAAAGACATTCTCTAAGGGCTAGAAGCAGTTCACCCTGCCTCTGGGAATTGAGACATACTAAAGAATGGTTGTCCAAGTAGCTCACTGAGCTCTGGGGGGTCAGGAGGACCAACATCTCCAGAAAAAAAATTGTGATATACAATTGGGAGCTGCAGCTTTTTCAACCAGCAAAACTGGAAGCAGAGGAGGCCTGTGCTTTTGACCACCCAGCTCAGCTGCAGAGCCCCATGGCACCATTCCATTATTTTGTTATTAGAAGAGATGATGCTAAGAGGACAAGGACACAAGTGAACTGCAGAGCCCTATCTCAACATGTGAACCTGCACTCCTTGGCATTACCACAAATTAGCACCTTTGCAATCTGAATATTCTGTGTTAAGCTCCAGTCCTCAGAAATAGCTCAGTCTGCCAAATTACCACCTTTTCTATCTGTTAGATTCCTTTCTCGTATAACTTCAGTGTCATTCAGTGAACTAGGGCATGGAGACAAAATCAAAAAATCAACTGTTTTATTGTGAAGGAGAGGAACTCAATGACATTGTCAATAACTGCTTCCCAAGTTATTGGGAGCAGCAAGTGTTCAGTCCAGCAGTGTCTGAAATTATGGCAAGAACCCCTCAGCTCCACCTATGCCAAGGAAGTTACATAAAGAGCATATTATCAAGCCATCTCATCTAAGAGTTTCTCACAGGTAGCATGAATGAAGAAACAAAAGCCTTTCTGAGCAATGCCCTTCCTTTTAAATATGGTGCATCTTCTGCTAGTAACCAGTGAAATATTTCCCTTTAGTGACTGAATTTGAGGCACCAATTTTAGGGCTAATTGTTAGTTTTTACAAAAATTATTTTAACAAAACAAAAATATTGGAAGCAGTTTACTTCATATTTATCCCTTTGGCAAATATAAAAAACTTCCTATCTCTGTCAGACAGGATATGAGGCGTATATCAAACACAAAAAGGAAGGTCTTGGCCATGAGCTAACTAGTTCTGATGCTTTTTATAGAAAAGGAGCAAGTACACTATTGTACTCAATAGCCCTGCAAATTCAGGTGGGGCAAAAGACTCCACAGAATAGATGCAAGTATCACAGACTAAGATGAGTGCATAAAAAGGGAACACATTTATAAATATTACCAATACCTGGGAAAGAAAAGCACAACCTTATTATTCCTATTCTATTATCCCTTCCAATTAACATTTAAAATATATTATTTTCCAAACAGATCTTGAAATCAATCCATGTTTTTTGCTTAAATTCAAATTTGTAATAACTGTCCTTAAACTGCTTCAGTATAGCCCCTCTGTTCCTTTTCTAATTTTACACAACTTCTAGGTATGCAATCTCTTTTCCCTCATTCATTTATTGATTCAGTAGCCTGGTAACCATAATTAACCTGCCAGCAAAATCTACACATAAGAGAACTCTGCTTAATTAATGACTTGGAGTGGTGGTAGTAATACATATGTGAAATAAATGGTAGATATGCAGAGAATTGCTTGGTTGGCTT